TTATGTATTGTGTACATGTTCTGGGTTTAGCTTCCTATCCTTCTCTGGTTCTGGGTTCTCCTAGTCCTGTCTTGTTTCCTTGTTTGTTGACTATCCTAGCCTTGTCTTGTTTCTGTACTGGATACATTCTTGCTGCAGAGCCGCCCTGGGAGGTCTGCTTAATTCCTGCTCCTAGCTTTTGGGATCCGCTGTAGCTGCATCAGGGTACTGGTATGTGGCCGCACAAACAATGGTGCTTAACACCAGGGGGCGTGTGGTTACCCTGCACCAGGCCCTGATAATCCTCTTCCACGCTGAAGACTCCCACTTATCATCAGGCACTCAGGGGTTCTGGTTTCCGTATCGCCACCCGTGACAAAAATTAATAAAAGGAATGGAATATTTCAGCTATGAAGAAAGGTTAACAAATTTAAACCTCTTTAGTTTAGAAAAACTTTGCATCAGAGGGGATATGATAATATTTTACAAATATATCCAGGGCCAATGTAAACCATTGTGTGGGAATTTATTCACAAACCGGCCTTTACATAGGACACAAGGTCATGCGTTTAGACTGGAAGAAAGAAGATTTCATCTAAGGCAAAGAAAAAATTTTTTTTAAAAATGCCGCCCCCAAATGCCCCCCGTGTTCACCCTGTCGTGGTTGCATATGAAAGCAGGACTGCATATCTGTCAGGATTGGGGTAACCCCAACACACAGAGAGAAGGATGTTAGCCAAAATAGAAGGAAGAACAGGATATGTATACCGGACCTTAGAGTGGCCGGACTTAACGTATGCCTAAAAACGCAAGAAATCATAGTAATAAAGGATGCCTAGGTCAAGGAATACAGAAGAATGAGAAGACAAGCCAAGGTCAAATGGGTACAGAGAGTCAGAATAGTCAAAATACGAAACCAGTAACAGGAAAAACAGAATAATAATAAACGCACTTTAAGGCTAACAAGAACCACGAAAGGGCAATGATTCACAGCAAAAGGGTAACTTATATAGGGCTAGAAAGAATACTATTGGACACCATCATCACCCAGCAACAGGACACACAAAGGGGTGTGACCTGTGCAGGACATCCAACAAATATGACATCACTAAAAGGTGAGTACAAAGTGTAACACCCACAGGGTCCTGTAATTTCAAAGGACGCCTGTAGGTGGCATGAGGTTGCCATGTAAATCTGGCAGTCTTGCAGATAGTACAGAGCTGTCTGCAGTTCCATGGAGAGAACTGCAGCTGGAGGTTTCCAGGAACGTGGCGTTCACCCCCAGAGCTGCCATCAGAAATGTTGGGGCCCCTGACACAGCTCAAGGTCTGGGCCCCCCGGTGCCTGCACGCGAGTCCGCCCAAAGTGCTGCCCCCCCCGAATCCGCCCACAGGGATGCAGTGTCTGCAGGGCCGGTGCAAGGATTTTTGCCACCCTAGGTAAAAGTAAAGTTTGCCGCCCCCCCCATGTGACATCACAATGCCCCACCCATATGATTTGCCATGTTAACTAACACCAGTGCTGCAGTGCCGCCGTGTTTACATTAAAAGGCCTGCAGGGACAGGCTAGACACCAGAACCACTACATTAAGCTGCAGTGGTTCTGGGGACTATAGTGTCCCTTTAATGTGAGGTAAATTAGAGATTAGTGCCACGAATAATATACTAGATTGCCTACTTACAACCAGATGAGGATGATGATGGGCTCTAGCTGCCGTCTGGCTCCACTGGTCTGGTGTACAACAGGCTCTCTGGAGGCGGTTTGTAACTGTGGTCACAAAAATCACTGTTCTGGGAGAACGGGAAGCAGCTCCATTTTTTTGAGGGCCCTTTACACAGCTCAAGGTCTGGGTCCCAGGGTCCACCTTCATGTTCCACCAATGAGTTTGTTCACAGGGAGTGGAGTGTGTGTGTGGGGGATGTCCTGATGTGTGTAAAGAATGCATTGTGTGAATCTGTGTTTGTATGTGTAAGGGCTGCAAGATGAGTTTGTGTATGTATGGGATGCAGTATGTGCGTCTGTAAGGGATGCATTGAGTGGGTGTAAGGGGTGCATTGTGTGTTGCTGTGTGTAAGGGATGCATTGCTTGTGTACGTGTGTCTGTGTGTAATGCATTGTGTGTTTTTCTGTGTGCAAGGGGTGCATTGTGTGTGATGGATGTCAATCTCTCCCCCTCCCCCTGTCAATTTCCTTCTCCCCCCCCCTCTTCCTCCAATTTCCTTCTTCTCCCCCTCCCTCTCATTTCCTTCTCCCCCCTCTAATTTCCTTCCTTCTCCCCTCCAATTTCCTTCCTCTCCCCCCGTCCCTCAAATTTCCTTCCTCTCCCCCGTCCTCAAATTTCCTCCCTCTCCCCCCTCAAATTTCCTTCCTCTCCCTCAAATTTAATTCCTCTCCCACCTCCCCCCTCAAAT